TGGAGGAGGTTAAAATATTGTTTTGCAGTTAGATTGCCCTCAATAAAAAATGGTCCTATTATGTGTTGGTCAATTATTCCTGCCCATACATTTATCTTTTGAGGATGCTGTGTGTGTGTCTCCTCTTTCCAATGCGGGTTTTGGTGGGACCAGTATCGGCAGTTATGACGGTTAACAAAACCCTTCATCATGAATGTGGCCTTATCCTAAAATAAAATTTTCCTTTAGAAATTTGGATCCTGATTACAACGTTCCATCAAAATTTCACAAAACCCAGCCCTACGATCAAAATCGTCCTCACTTAATTCTTTCAACAAATGCACCTTATGGTGCATTTTTTTCTTTTAAATAACCTTTGCATTGACGAATAACTGATATCGTTGTCTCGGGCAACCGGGTTGCAACCCCCGACAAGAAACTGAAGGTACTTCCTGGACTTGCAATAGCAAGTTCAGGGCAACATCTCCAGCAGTGGCAGATTTTAGTCGACCGCTTTTAGTCCTATTTTTCACACTTTCAGTTTCAGATTTTTTATTTTTTAGAATTTAGCTTATGCATGATTGTGTCAGAGGCCTTTTTCGGTCACCATACCCAACAATCATTAAAATTCAAATTCTTTTTTTTTTACTACGCATTGTTTTTTAAAACGGTATCTATTTATTTTAGTATTAGCACACTATTACCATAGCCGAATTAAGATAATTTGTCGCTCTAAGCCAATAATAATGCCGCCCTCGGTGGTGTAGTAGTTAGCACTGCGGACTACAAGCCGAGAGGTCGTGGGTTTGAATCCCACCAGGGGTATGGCTGTATATTTGTGTGTGTCAGTGTGTACTCCTGTAATTGGGCCTGGTGTCTGTTGAAAGCACATTAAAATAATAATAATAAAAAAAATAATTACACCCCATATTAGTACATTTGGTATTAATATAACACAATACATTTTAGCCGACAGGGGTCACATGGTGGGGGTTTTATAAAAAAATTACAATGAAATAATTAAAAAAATAATTTATGTTTATATAGAAAAATTCTTATATTTTTAAGATATTTTAAAAGTGACTGGATTCATAGAAAAAATGTGCATAATAATTACTATTTACAAAAATTTATTCTGTCAAGTTATAACTTGATAATAATAATATGAAAAATACATAATAATACAATGAAATAAAATTAAAAAAATAGTAACATGATAACTTGATAATAATAATTATCCATGAAAAATACATAATAATACAATGAAATAAAATTAAAAAAATAGTAACATGGTATATTCCTATGCTTGGTTTTAACAAATAAAAAACGCAATAGAAACTTAAAACAACAATGAAACAAAAAATTAAGAATTAAAAAAATTATTTACAATTAGATTTTCGTCACCTCACCATTTATTTTATTACATTTTCATATTTGTTCTTTAGTAAAGGCTTGTATTACCATATCCCGTAGTTCCTGTGACGAAAATGTAATTGTAGAGAATTTTTTAAATTCTCTATTTTTTGTTTCATTGTCGTTTAAAGTTTCCATTGCGTTTTTATTTGTTAAAACTAAGCAAACGGATATTTATACCATTTTACTATTAGTCTAATGTTTTTCATGGATAACTTGACAGAATAAATTTTTGTAAATAGTTATTATTGACAATACATTAAAAATTAACAATAATCTATTGTTCATTTTTAATTTGGCTATAAAATCGTTCCCACTAAAAATTTTTCAACAAAATTTAATATAGTGTCGTTTTGAGGGGTGGTGAATCCAGTGCCGTGCATAGATTTTTTTTTAATCACTAATATGAATTCTTACAAATTTACTCTCAAAAACTGACATAGTGGGCCTTATATTTGTAAAAATATTGTTAAAATCGCACAATAAATAAATAATTTACAGGGAGAGTCGCAAACAAATGGGTCACACTGTATTTATTTGGCTAGTTGAAATAAACACAGGTCTATATATATATATATATATATACATTTTTCCAAGGTTTTTAATGTGCTCAATCCGAATTCTGCCTTAGAATTGCTCCATCACATCAGGTATTTAACTAATTTTAAACCAAAAGTAAAAAAACTCATGGCCTTTTATTATTGTTCTTAAACATTTTAATTATCAAATTCATATTTTTGTAGGTGACTTTGTCATGATCTTGTATAATTTTACAAAACAAATTGCCGAATAAAATTTATTTATATTTGATATATTATCAGTTGGGTTAAAAAGGTTATATTTTTATTTTTAAATGACGCATACCTACTCCAAATTAAAATTACCATTGTCGAAAATTTGTTTTTATAAACATGTATGCATACTTATCTATTAAAATATTTATTAATTTAATTATTACCATGATGATATAGAGATAATAAACAATTGCCTTAATTAATTCTTTTACTACTAAACTTAATCCACATTACCTACATCGTCGCACGCGCAAGAGAATATTTTTTCTAGCTTTTACTGCCACCCATTTACCTCAAAAATTAAATAAGATGTTCTAAAAATAAAAGTAGAACAACTCTTGTGTTTTTACTTTGAAGTCTATACTGACAATGAACAAAAAACGTTTATCAAAGAAGGTTTAAAAATCCCAATTTGTGATATCAGTAAAAATAATTATTAGTTTAGTTAGATTGTTTAATGCGAATAGAACATTCAAACCTAAGCATAATAACAATGTTATTCAAATCTTTTTGTCTTTTTCTTATGTATTATCATTTCACAGATATTTTATTTCTTTAATTAAGTTAAAAACCCTAAAACATACCCAGGTTCGTTTAAAACAAGTTTTATGAAAAATTGTTAAATTAAATATTTTGTGGCTTTGGCTCGTGATCGTCTTACCCAAATTTGGACCTCTATAGAGCGTATACGCTGTGTTTACTTAATTGTTTTATTAAATGCATTGCTTTAAGAATGATACGTGGGAGAACTAGGTTTATAAGAAATAAAATACAGTGGTTTAGTTTACCCCAATTTAATTTACGTTACTTTTTTACAAACAAGCAAGGGGTGGCTCTTAGGAGGGTTCGGCCAGGGAAAAAGAGCCTGAGAAAAACTGCATTTAAACAAAGATTTAAAACTGAAGAATATTGGTGTTAGTTAGCCGGGCTATGCCCAGAATGTAACGGGGTCCACAAAGGGAGGCAACCCGCCTATTTTAGTTGAAAGGTCGGGGAAAAGCGATGTAGCCCTAGAGAACCTAGGACAACCTGTTCCCCTCACCGGAGAAAATATTAGTTCAGACAACAAAGGCCCACGCACACAAACAAAAAGTACTCAAAGTTTAACAATAACGGTCAGCAGTCCTGTTTAAGCACCGAGTAATTTCGCAATACATCAATAAATTTGGACTGACCATAAAACAATGCTTAACCACGTTATAGGAAAGGTACAACATGTTGGGTTGAGCACAAAACAAATTACAATGTTACATTTGAGCAGTACAAGCATTGAGCATATCAAATTATTAAAATTATAGTATTCAGTAAAAGCGAAAATAGGTGTGGTAAAAGCTAAACGAAAAGGGTTTAAAAATAACGTAAAATACAGCTAAACGTAATAGTGAAGGATAAATATACTCATAATAGTAATAATTATACAATAATAATATTAACAATTAAAAAATGCACAATATTACGTTTAGTTAATTTTAGTACACATTTAGATAGATTAAATATTTAGAACTAACCTTGTATAATACACTATAGTGTATTATACAAGGTTATAACAACCCTTTTAACAATGATTTTAGAACAATAATTTGATTTTACAATTGTGCCAAAAAAAAAAACGATCTGTACAGTAACAAGTTCAAAACGCGTCTCCCTTATTTTTCCTTTTCAAAAACCCTATTCGTCTACCTCTGGGTGGCATTTCCCCGGCTAATTTGTATGCCAGATGTAAGCTTTCTCAAGCTTTTGTTTGCTTGACAAATTTTCTACCTAAATTTGTAACTTTGTTTGCCTAAAAATAAAATTTTATAACATAATCATATTTTAAAATTAGAAAAAATAAAATATATTTATAAACATGTATTATAATAAATTAATAAATGGGTATTTTTACGGAACCATTACAATACCTACCCTATAAACAAAGAATATAGCCAATGTGGCTAAAAATACAATCTATATGTATGTGTGAAAATATTTTTTAGTAATTAATTTAATACAAGGTGTCCAGGAACTCTGATCGTAGCTATTTTAAGGAAATATTCTACATATAAAAACATGAAGCTATGGCCTACAAGTAGGTATCAGTTTATATAAGAGAGAAGGTATCTGGTTTATATCACAAATTTTTTAATTTTTTACCGTAAAATAATTACTCCAAGGATATTTTTACATAAATTAGGTATTTTTGTAAAAAATAATTGGACTAATAGTATGAGACGAAAAACGATCATTTCATAAACTACTATCGAATTGTGTTTAAATTAAAAAATTAAATAAGTCAATGACGAACGAAAATTTGAATTCAAAAAGCATCAAGAGACCTATGGTTAACATTAAAATAATTGACATTGAGGTTTTTGTCATTTATTGGAGTAGTCAAGTAGTAGTACTGGTATGTCAAGTAGTAGTACTGCTACGTCACCCTTGGACGGCCATAGCGTCCTTATACATTAAAGGACCTACAATAATTATTATATAAACTTTTTTTATATTTTTATATGTAGAATATCCCCTTGAAATATTTTTGGAGACCCTGTATAAAATATAACATACATTTTATAAATTTATCAATAACCTAAAATTTTTGTTAAAAATTACAATGCAAAAAATTCAAATATTTTTGATAAAATGATTCACACGCACGTATTCATTTATTGTGCAATAGTTTTTCTAAAATATTTATATTTTCATAATAAAAAATAAATATATTTTTATAGTCAGCGATTTTTTTGTAGCTACTTACTCTTAAACATATTAGTAGTACCAAGTGATGTGTCTACCATAATTGTTATGATTTTATTTGTTAAATTTATATTTAATTTAAAATACACTACCCACTGTTAAAACCCCATGGTAAGTATTCAATATTTTTTTTTAATCTCTTGTTTGAAAGTTTAACAATATCAGATTTAAATATTTAAATATATATATATTTTTTTAGACAAGCAATGATTTCAAACATAACACTTCAGAAGAAAATTATCCTTCCAAAAACAACAATATTACGTACATCCGTAAAAAAACTTGAACATAAAAAATATGAGTCAATATTTGGAACCTTTAAGACTGAATTAATTTGGACAAACATAATGTTAATTTTTACACTTCATACTTTATCTGCGATTATAATTGTGTCATATCCATGGATTACGAAGTTTCCTCTAGTACTTTATGGTAGGTAATTAATTAATAAGTATATTTTTAAAATAATAATTTGAATTGTGATTTTAAGCATTTACCATTGGTGGCATAGGAGGATTTGGTGTAACTGGGGGTGCTCATAGATATTGGACGCATAAATCATTTAAGGCAAAACTACCATTGAAACTCATTCTTCTTATGTCATATTCCGTAGCAGGCCAAGTAATAATACTATATAATAACAAAATAACTCCTTAATTTAAAATTTATTGAATATTGTTTTATAGAATTCTTTAAAAAACTGGGTAAGGGATCATAGAGTTCATCATAAATTCTCGGAAACCAGTGCAGATCCCCACGATTCTAATCGAGGATTTTTTTTTGCCCATTGTGGTTGGTTAATGATGAAAAAACACCCTGACGTTTTAGAGAAAGGAAAAGTTATTGATTGTAGTGATTTAATGCAAGATCCAATAATTAGATTTCATGAGAAGTAAGCATAATTTAAAATATTAAATTAAGTGTGCCATATTTGTTCTATGAAACGAGTAATATTATTAAATTATTTTTATTATTTTATTAAGCTGTATCACTGTTTTTCAGAAAAAAATAGGCCAAGTTTTTAGACCTATTGTGATTCTGAAAACATTTCCAGTTGTAACTAGCGTTTATATTACATTGGCTTAAAGTTGTATTTCTTTACTATTTATTTATTTATTTATTAAATAAAACACTGTATCATAGTTTAACAAAACAGTTTTATAACTGGTGCCGTCAAAATATGTGAGAATAATTCTTTTATTTTTTTAGATACTTCGTATTATTCAAATTGGTGTTTTGCTTTATATTGCCGACGATTATACCACCTTTACTATGGAACGAATCTTGGTTTTGGACTTTCTGCTCTACCGCAGTTGTAAGATACTGTTTAACTTTAAATTTTACTTGGGCCGTGAACAGTGCTGCCCATTTATGGGGTAACAAACCATATGCTAAGTAGGTGAATAGTCAAAATATGTATTAAATTATCTAATTAAAATTTGAAACCCTCAGGTCACAAACACTTACTTACTTTGAATTTTATTAAATGTTTATATACATAATATGTTATTATGTTTATATATAAATTGGGGTGATTTCTTTTTTTTTCTTTTAATATCAACAAATTGGTTGCTGGGCACCTCAAAAGACCTATGACCTCTTACTATTAAGAGTAAGATCCTCCTCATTGCAATTTTCCTTTTTCACATTATTCCGATTAAATCATTTTGTATCTGACTATGAAATGATTATAAAGCTAAGGTCAATAAACATTTGAATAGAAAATTAAGTGCTCTACAAAAAAGTTATTCTATGCTTTTTTTTTGTAACATAGAGATGTAAAAGATATCTTAGGCCAAAATTTAAAAATAATTAACTCCCATAATAGTTAGGATTTTAAAATGAGTAGTACAGGTTTTTGTTGAAAATTAACTGATCTACAAAAAGTTTTTTCAGTTTTTATGATCAAATATAATCGCAACTATAGTTCAACTTATATTTTATCTACTACCGTAAAAATATTAATTTTATTTGTTGATTTTGAAATATCTTTATAAATTTGTGTTCTTAGTAATTAAAATAAGCTTTTAACCATTTTACATTTTATTTTAAAATTTTATTTCAAAATATTCATTTTTTTAAGTATTCCGGTTCTTGGGTAAGAGACTTTTAAAACATTTATTTATCATATTTGATATATTTATAAATAATTACATTATATACCACTAAATTATTTAGGTAAAAAGTTAAAAAAAACCCTTGTCATATTATAAGCTTGGTATCCTTACCACTAAACCATACGGAATATACTTTATATCAAACAAAACTTATTATTATTTCGCGCGCGCGATTATCGAATAACTTTTTTGTAGATCAATTAACAAAATCAACAAAAATATTTACTACACATTTTGAAATGAATATTTTGCAAATGACTATTCTGCAAGTTATACAATTTTCAATTTTTTTTTTTAATTTAACCCAAAATATCTCTTGAAAACCAATACTTACCTTTTTTGTAGAGCATTTAATTTCCTATTAAAATATGTATTGGCCTTGGATTTATCTATATTTATTATCGAGATATAAAATGTTTTTCATTGGATTAATGTGGTCTTGCTCTTAGCAACCAATTTTTTGATATCATAAGTGAAATAAAAGAATAGTAGATTGTATATACAATTGTATATATATATATATATATATATATATATATATATATACACAATGTGTCTTGGCAACAAATGGGAAACTTTTTATTATTAATTTTAAGAAAAAAAGTTATTTTTCATTAAAAATTCTGCAGTCGTATACGCGGTTTGTCAAAATATGAATCTTACTCAAGAGTAAGTACAAACAAATGATTTGATGATAGCAAGAAATGTCAAAACATCAGAATTTGCTAATTACTTTCTGAACGGAACATGTTTGTAATAAATAAAAAAAAAATGTTCGGTATCTGTACCTAGTTTAAAAAAATTGTAAATTTTTTTTTAAGTAGACGGATGTAATTGCATATTAAAACATTCCTAACAACTTTTCATAATTACAGTTTTCGATATTGTCACAAATAAAGTTACTTTACTCTGGTACAAAATTCATACTTTTTGTCAAACCTCGTGTATGACAATATATATTAATGAGAAAGTTTTCCATATGTTGCCAACTTAAGTAGACACGCTGTATATGTATTGATGGTTAAAAGAACCGTATGTCTGACGACGTTTCAGTACAATCTCATGTACCATCTTCAGGTCTTATCTGCTGGGCTGCTGTTGCTGCTCTGCTGCGAGTTAGACCCTATTAGATTTCCGCGTCATTAACTGTGACTGCGATTGTCCCTATGTTATGCTCGGCTCCATTGATCTCGTTAATCTGCGTGGTGTTTTGGTGGCTGTAAGAGCTGCTTTTCATGCAGTTGGTGGTCTCTGTGTATCGTCTCTTGTGTTGAGGTTTCTTGGACGTTTTCTATTTCAATGGCTTCACGGATGGTACGTTTGGTCCTGTGTTCGATACTAGCCAAGACCCTTGTTTTTTCAAAGTCAATTTCATGGGAAGTTGTTTTTTCCGGACGGAAGCTACGTTGGACAGACCAATAGACGTATGAACGTTCAACGCGAAGAACATGAAGCCATTGAAATAGAAAAACGTCCAAGAAACCTCAACACAAGAGACGATACACAGAGACTACCAACTGCATGGAAACCAGCTCTTACAACCACCAAAACACCACGAAGATTAACGAGATCAATGGAGCCGAACATAACACAGGGACAATCGCAGTCCCAGTTAATGAGGCGGAAAGCTTAGAGGGTATATAAGCAACGATCGGCGGCAACGGAGCTTACTCCAAGTCTACCTCGCAGCAACAGCAGCCTAGCAATTAAGACCTGAAGATGGTACATGAGATTGTACCGAAACGTTGTCAGAAATACGGTTCTTTCAAGAACCAAAAACCGAAAACACGGAGCAGATCCCGGAAAACCATCAATACATATAACGCCCGTGAAAACCAAAAACCGACAACACGGAGCAGATCCCGGAAAACCATTAATACATATAACGCCCGTGTTAACCTAAAGCAGAACATGTTTACATATACAGGGTGCACCAAGTATCTATACATGAATAAGTATTTTTTTATTTAAAGAACTACGTTAAAGAAAAGTTGCATTACATTAAAATTTATAAATTAGTAAAAAGCCTACGGTTCCTAAAATATTTAAAAAAAACTAAAAACTTTTTAAAACCAAAAATCGTTATTCATGGAGGCCATAGGAAAAACAAAAGATGGTGGTGGTATCTTAAGATCCAGTAGGCAAAAAAAATCACAAATTGGGTGAAGGAAAATTAATGTGTATGTTTACATGTAAAATTTACTTTTTTTTAAATTCCCAGACATAACAAAGTTACTTATAACGATTTTTGGTTTTTCAGGTTTCAGTAATTTTTTATAATTATTTTGCAACCGCTGATTTTGTATTCAATTTTTAAATTTAAAATTTTAATAGACTTGTAATTATGCAACCCTTGTAATAATTAACCGACCTTGTAGCTCTTCAAATAAATAAATTGAAGGATACTTGGTACACCCTTTTTACGCTCTCTTAAAATGAATTAGTCAAAAATAACTAATAATAAGTCATATTTGACTGTCATAGCGAAAAAACTACTAATAATTATAATTAGTCAAATTCTACTAATGATATAGTCAAATTCTACTAATGATATAGTCAAATTAGTAGATTTAAATTTAAAAAAGTATTGACCCAGCCAGGCTTTGAACTCGGGTCTGTGAAGCGGATGTCAAACCGGTGCTTTACTGTCACTTTTATAAAAATTAGTTTTATTTATCTATAAATATTGTTAATAATATTTTAAAGCTAAATTCCTTTTTTGTGTTGCTGTTTTGAGCTAAACTTTTAGCATCTTTGTTTGTTTTTAAGGGCCATTTAACCATGAAGCCCATATGCATTTAACTCTAACAATAATTTGTTGTTGGCCGCAAGAATTAAAAACGATTAAAGAAATGTTACTTTTTACTCCCAGAAACAGTCAAAGATGGTGACTTATCTTAAATTAGTCAAACTAGTAGTAAAAAATAACTATTTAAAAATTAAAACGACTATTTTATTGGTATTTTAAGAGAGCAATGCGGACATAAAAATTTTAGTATGTTAAACTAAACATTAAATACTACTTTTTGACATAAACAATTTTTTTAAATCCCAAAATGGCGTCGAATTTTTAAAAGGTTACAATTTCTCAACGGGATGAGCGTTTATGAGATACATCGTTGAAAAGGTCTTTACAAGCGGTTATAACCAACTGCTTATTATTTAGATTTTTTTACAGGGTATATCCCAAATTATAACAAAAAAATCGCATTTTATTAGTATGTATATTTTATAACATTTAAAAATTTAAACAAAAAAATTTTTGTTTAGTATTTAATAATAATAAATATTATAGTATTATAATAACCTAATGTAAGCCTTTTTGATATGTATGGATTTAAAAAAATTCGTCATACCACAAAAATGTCACATGTAAAAAATACAAAGTGGGTATTTTGACATATCATTTAAAAGGTCTTTTAAAGCTTACTTATTTTTTTATTGTACAAAATAAAATAAAAAAAAATGTACACTAACCAAACAGCGTTATTTTGATTTTATTATTATTGGAATTAATACAAAATTATCACGTTTTAAATATAAATCTCATGCTGCTAATTATCTACAAATCCTGTATAGAATCTAAAAAATAAGTCGGTTAATTATAGTTTCAACAGACCTTTAAACATGTTTAATAATTTGACAGTAAGATGCAATATAAAAAAATTTAAAAATTTTATGTCAAAATTAGTCTAGTTTAACATACTAAAATGTCCCATTCCTACAAACCGGTTTTAAAAATAAAGGGAGTTAGATTATAATATTATATTTAGTTAAAAGTATTTGTTGGGGATAGACTCGTAACTAAAAAGGTTTTTTTATGAATCAACTAATACTTTCTATTTTAACAAGTTTAAAATTTAAATGTGTTTAAGTCGCTAGAAACTGGAAGAACACAAAATTCACCATAATTCTCAGTGGCGGATTTTGAAAAATGCTCGATTATTTTTAGCTGCGGGTTTTTTATGGTTCATTCAGGTATACGCGATATACAATTTAAAATAAGTGTCGACCACCAAATTCATTTTTTAAATAAAATAGTATATTATAGACCAGGTGGGAAAAGATCATATTATAGCCAAACATTTTACTGCAAAGGCGCTAGCCGAGGCAATTAATAAGCTTTCGCCGCCGTTTTTTATATGCTATTTTTTTAAGCATTTAGTTAACATATTTCTTAATATTAAGTCACAGCCTTTTTAGTTTAGGTTCAACTGACTTTATGACATTTTAGGTCTATTTTTGTACGGAGGTTTATAATAATTTAACTTTTGCACTAGTTAATATGAAGTTTTTTTTTATGTAGACTAGACGTGTTATAATATGAAAATTATTGTACGCCAGAGAAAAAAATACCCATTTTTTATTTCATTTTTGAATTTTTCATCGAATTTTTAAGAAATTAAGGAATAAAGATAATAATTAAGAGATTTTATGGTAGGATATATTGATAGGACTCGAACGCAAGATGTTTGCGAATTGTTTAATGATAAGTACCTAGAGAGGCCTATTACACGATTGGTATTTAGTAAGATAAAAAAAACATTTTAGAGACTTTGGTCACGTAACAGACAATTACAAAACCAACCATCTTCTGGTTGCAGAAGACGATTTACAAGAATCAACCAAACAAATAGCTTTAGACCAGTCAGTCTGTAAATATTCTGTTCTTAAATATTTACACAAGAACAAATGGCACCCATGCAAATTTCATAAACTTATTTAAGGTAATCTCGACCGAATTTTGGTAAAAAATGATGGAAAGAAGCTATATTCATTACAGTACAAGTATTAAAAGTCACAAACAATTCCCCTAGAAAGTAAACGAACGATCCTTAGTTGAATGTCATTTTTTTAGTGAGGGGACACTTAACTCTGAAAATTATTTGGACCTACTACAAAATTACATAATACTCAGTTTAACTGTATCTACTTAACATGAATGGTAAGAACCCAAATATAAACAGTACGAGATTACCTATTCCAATAGATGGATCGGAAGGAGACGTTTAATCGAATGGCCAGCTAGGTCTTCAGACCTACTAGATTAGATTTTTATCTATGAGGGTATTTCAAATCCAAATTTCATTTAAATAAACCAAAAAATATTGAAGGATTGAAGAATAGAATTAGAGCCTAAATACAACAAATCCAGCAACAAACGTAAACTACAGTGTTGCCTATTATCAGCAATTTGAACAATTAATTTGATTTGTTCTTTTTTTAAATAAATTTCCAAAAAACAAACCTATGAATTTGAAATAAATTTGTTTCAACCCACGCGTCCTTACAAGTTTTGAATGAAATCAATCGTAAATTTTTCGATAACTGTTGAGTTTAGGTACAGAACATGGTACATTAGGCATACTTAGAATTCGATGTAAAATTCAAAAATGAAATAAAAAAAGGTGTTTCAATTTAAAAAAAAATCTAGTTGGTGTATCGTATCAACATGAATACATGAATTTTCTGTAAAAAACCCGCAGACAAAAATAAATATTTACTTGCCATGGCGTTTAAAAAAAAAACAAACCCCTCATTTTTAAATTAATTTGTTTCAACCCACGCGTGTATGGTGGATACATCCATTTATATGGAACGCCGTTGTATTTTTTAATCAGGAATTTTTGTTGCAACTCCAACTGCTAGTCATATTTTTAATTGTATCGATTATTTTAAACAATATTTATAACTCAACTAATTTTATACTCAAAAATAATGTGGAATTAAAAATATCAAAGTGTCACTAAATTTTTAATTTAAAGTGATATTTGTAATTCACAGGAATTATCGATATAAAAGTGACCAGAAAATTCAGGTTAATTTTTAATTCAAACTGATATTCATAACTCGAATGAATTATAAATATCAACTTGAATTTTTAATTCAACTTATTTTCAACTAAAAAATGATGTAGAATTAAAATATTAAAGGGAAACTAAGAATTATTTGATATTTTTAAATGAAAGACATATTTTTAATTCCCACAGTTTGGACACCCCTGGTAATGTTGACGGTTCAATTTATCTACTACAGTAGGTATATATGCTTTAATCTCAGTTAAATTATTTTGCGGCACTGTTTGTTTATATAATACCGTTTTTATTAATAATGGGCATAATAATTAATATTAATTAAATTACCTAATATTTTAAATATTTACAAAGGTATTCTCATAAATCGTTAAGTAGGTCAACTGAGTCAGTTGAACTACTACAAATTTGACAATGCGAGAATTTCCCGCCGGGAAACCTAACCTTCTTTATCTCCCTAGATAAATCTATCTAGGTTTATCTCTGCCGAGAACGAAGCTAAAATTGTTGGTATATTTACTACATAGGTAAGTATTAATAAAAACGTTATTATATAAACAAAAATAGTGCCGCAAAATAATTGAACTGAGATTAAGGCAAATATACCTACTGTAGTAGATAAATTGAACCGTCAACATTACCAGGGGTGTCCAAACTGTGGGAATTAAAAATATGTCTTTCATTTAAAAATATCAAATAATTCTTAGTTTCCCTTTAATATTTTAATTCTACATCATTTTTTAGTTAAAAATAAGTTGAATTAAAAATTCAAGTTGATATTTATAATTCATGCGAATTATGAATATCAGTTTGAATTAAAAATTAACTTGAATTTTCTGGTCACTTTGATATCGATAATTCCTGTGAATTACAAATATCACTTTGAATTAAAAATTGACTTTAATTTTAGGGTCACTTTAATATTTTTAATTCCACATTATTTTTGAGTTTAAATTTAGTTCAATTATAAATATTGTTTAAAACAGTTGACACAATTAATTGTAATTACAAATATGACTATTAGTTGAAGTTACAACAAACATTCATGATTAAAAAATATTTTGGCGTTAACGGAACGCCAAAGTACTTTTTAATAACTATAATTTTAGATATCTGAAATTAATTTCAGATATCTGAAATTCAAAAGTGATATTAGAAATTCCTGATTAAAAAATACAACGGCGTTCCATACATTTAGGTGAATTATGTTTAAATTTAAAAAAATGTCCCATTATAATGTAATTTTTTTTAATATCGCTTTAGCCGTATACGTATAAATATTTTATTTTTTTTTAGCTTCTAAATATATTTATAACTCTCTAAGATATATGTTTGAAATTAGAACAACGTGTACAGAATTTCTTAAACACGAATTAATAAACAAAAAGTAGCTTTATCGGAATAAAAAAATTAGCATAATTTTTATGAAACCATTTCTGCTAATAGAAACTTTTTACCGTTTTGATTTGTGTATCACTTTCGTTATGTTTTGCTAAGGATTTTAGTTACCCACTATATATATATATATATATATATATATATATATATATATATATATATATATATATATATATATATATATATATATATATATATTATATAAATATATATGTTCTGCTTTAGGTTTCCACGGGCGTTATATGTATTAGTGGTTTTTCGGGATCTGCTCCGTGTTGTCGGTGTTTGGTTCTTAAAAGAAACGTATGTCTGACGACGTTTCGGTACAATCTCATGTACCATCTTCAGGTCTTCCGAAACGAAATGTCGTCAGACATACGGTTCTTTTAAGAACCAAAAACCGACAACACGGAGCAGATCCCGAAAAACCATTTATATATATATATATATATATATATAAGTTTAACAAGAGTTTATTATTTTGTTAACCATTTTCATTGATAAAATAAAAATAAATCTAATTAAAATTTTGAAATTGCCATTAGAAACATAAATCCATCTGAAAACCTTACGGTTTCCATTGTGGCAATGGGTGAAGGTTGGCATAATTACCATCATACATTTCCATGGGACTACAAGACGTCAGAAAATGGCAGATATAATTTAACCAAAAATTGGTTGGATTTTTTTTATGCAATCGGTTGGGCATATGATATGAAAAGTCCCTCAGACGAACTAGTGAAAAAAGTAGTTGAAAAAAATGGGGATGGTAGCCACTGGCAATGGGGGATGGAATATCCGGAAAGTGAGGACAAGTATAATTAACATATAACTATCCGAGAATTTTTCTGATTATTTGGATATACCTATAATTATTGTAAGACTATGTACATATTTATTAAATAAATGGTTATTTATTCATGTATTGTTTTTTTTCTATGTAGTTAACCTAAAAATACTCATATATGTATCGCATTTTAAAAACAATAATAATTATAACTATTATTAATAATAATTATTATTGATAAATGCGTATAGGTAGGTACTTTTTTTAATAAACAAATATTTTAATTGTTAAAATTAAGAAATAATGTTTAACATTATACCTACTACACGGAAAAAAAAGATTTCTAAATGTAAGAATACCTTTATTCTTATAAGAATAAAGGTATTCTTACATTTAGAAATCTTTTTTTATAAGAAAATTCACTTGATTTAAGTATAATTTGCTTGGGCTACGAATAACTTTATCTTGTTATAAGAATAAACCAATCCTTAAATTAAAAAGATTTTATTTCTTAACTTAAAATTAAGTTCAGTTGAAATAAGATGATTGACCTAATGTTGTCAAGACTGAAACTAACGTTAAACTAAATAAAAATCTTTTTTAAAACAAGCAGATCTTATTCTTGCTTGTTAAATGTTAAGAAAGACTTTAGATAAAATAATCCTATTCTTATTTTAAGATTAACAATCGATTAGACTAAATTTTAGAAAATTCCCTCCAAGCCCATTCTATTCTTAAAGGGATAAAACTATACTGGATATAAATATAGGTACTTATATTTATTCTAAGAATAGTTATAATGATATTGGTACGACTGACCTATTCTTAAAAATATTCCCCACTCCCGAACGTGTCCGCTAACCCTGTTTGTGTAGGCGTTTTACACAGCGTCAGCCCAAAGAATTGCGCCAGCCCGGCAAACATTGTTTGTTACTATTTGGTTGAGTGTTTCGTATAATATTTGTTTTAAAATTATGGAAGAACTGCTTGATAAGTGGAATTTAAAAGAATTAACCATCAAATTTATGGGTAAGTAATAATTATTACATCTAATGCACAACCCACACAACAAGGTCTGTTCTTTAGCTTAAAAATTTAAACCAAAATGCGGGGTTTACAAAAATTCCAATATAGCCAAAAAATGTCCGCCTCCCCATCAAAATCAACGTGTCTAAAGGTTTAAAACAATCATTGCAAATATTCAAAAAGTTCGTTATAAAAGAAACACCCTTCAAGTATACATACATACCTTATATTTAATCCAAAAGTAAATATTGTAAATCCAAGAATTATAAAATTTGTATGAAAAAATACTTATTCTTAAATTAAGAATAGTTTATATTTTATTTGAGGGTGTTCTGTTTAAAAAAAGTATTGCTTACATTTAAAACAATGTGATATAAGAATAAGTTTACCCTTGCAACTAACATTGAATTTATATCCAAATAAGTATAGGTTAGTTCTTGCATTCAACCCACTATATTCTTTAAATAAGTATTAATTTATATTAAAAATAAGAATATACTTGCGGAATGGTGAGATGAACATTAGGGTGTTTCAAAAAAATCGACTTTTTCTTTTTCTTCAAATGGTCGGCAAATTCTTTCAGAGGATGTCAACACAAAGACCTCGTCAAAATTTGAGCTTTTAATTTGAAGATTTAGAGGTCTCGGATCGCAATTTTCTATTTCCCATTTAAATAACATGGGATTTTTTTTTTTTAACTTTAAAATTTTATACGTCTGAATCGAATCAACTTATGTCAAGGATCATCTTAGATTTTTATAGTAAATTTAACGCTCTACAAAAAAGGTCTCTTATCATTTTTCTATAAATTGATTCCTTCCAGAGTTATTCGAGGCCAAAGTTTGATTTCCATCGAATTTTCGCGTTTTTTTAACATTTATGGTACAATTATCATTATACGGGGCCAAACCGAAATTAGGGGGGCCAAACTTAAACAGTGCATTATTCGTATAAAAATAAAACTTTTTTGTTTAATAAACATGTATCAAAAAATGCTCCCTAAAGGAGCTACGGCCCCCTGAATAGGAACCTAAGAGGATAATTTTTTTAAAACTATTCCTAGAGGGTTGAACATGAACAAATGAATTTTCGGTACTTTTCGAATTTTGACATGCTGAATCTAGATCTACGATCAAAACTGTTAAAATTTAATCATAGGCGTAACATTTGGAGGGGGCAAAGTTACAAAAATAGCCCCAACTTTTTTCTGGGTTAATAATTTAATTTTTTTTATGAAATTATGAGAATTTATAGTTTTTTACGAAAAATAGGTACTCTTGATTTGAATTGCTCAGATGCACCATTTTCGAGAAAAATGCATTTATATATAAATTACTCTGCATATTATACACATCTCATATTTTCATTAAAACTTTGTAGTAGGCTTTGGAAAAAAGTGACGTTTTTTTGTTTTTTTGTTTTTTTACAACACTTCCTATGTTTCAGATATAAATATGTGATTTTTTTACTACATTATGCTAAAAGTTGAAAAAACGAGAAAATTCGATGGAAATCAAACTTTGGCCTCGAATAACTCTGGAAGAAATCAATTTATAGAAAAATTATAAGAGACATTTTTTATAGAGCGTTAAATTTACTATAAAAATATAAGATGTCCCTTGCCATAAGTTGATTCGATATAGACGTATAAAATTCCAAAGTTAAAACAAAAAATTTCCTATGTTATTTAAATGGGAAATAGAAAATTGCGATCCGCGACCTCTAAATCTTTAAATTAAAAGCTCAAATTTTAACGAGGTCTTTGTTTTGACATCCTCTAAAAGAATTTGCTGACCATTTGAAGAAAAAGAAAAAGTCGATTTTTTTGAAACACCCTAATGAACATATACTTGGACCGAGATGATTAATCTTTAATATAGAATAGCTTTTTTTCCGTGTAGTTAACGCTCTTTGGTTTATAAATTTATCGGCAGAAAAAATACAGGTGAAGATTTCTTTATTGATTTGTTACCAATCTGCGCAATAAAGGTATTTTTTTACGTATGGTGCACAAAATAGTTCATTTAATATTTTTTTTATAAAACTGGTGTAGGGAGAAATCTTTACAATACGTAAAAAAATACCTTTATTGCGAAGATTGGTAATTTACTTTACAAATATTTTACAACAAGCAAGGTGTGGCTCTTACGACCAGGGAAAAAGAGCTAGAGAAAAAACCTTGTTCGGCTATGAAGTAGCAAATAATTACACGATTGGGCCTTGTTTCTTTTAAAAGTTTATGCGAATTAATGTGATGAAGCGACGATCGTAACTTTACCTCAAATAAATAAATCTTTATTATCCAATAGACCATAGATATGGTATAGTACAAGTCAGTTGGTACAAACATTAGATTACATAGTTTAACAGAATTGTTAATTATCTACATATTAAAATATTCTTCTATATTGTAAAATACATTAAAGAATAAAGTAAATAATAAATACAATTTACTTTTAAATACTTTAAAACTATTCTTTAAAGAACTAGGTAGTTTATTAAACAATTTTATGCCAACACAAATAGGATTAATTTAATAAATGGTATGAGAGTGGCTTGGGATAACCAAATCATCTCTATTACGAGTATTTTATTAATTAAAATAATTAATTTGATAGATTGGTTTTTAAAAACAATCTGTATTAATTATACGAGGTTTACAATCGAGAAGCAAGATACAGAATGAATTAAACTAAACTAAAATGTAATAATCATGAACATTAAAGATAAGAGATAATTCAAAGAAATGAAATATAATCTTCGTACACCTTATACATGGTCATCAAATACGTGCATATAACTCCTCCATCCTTAAGATAAAAGCAATACGGGTGGATTGGTTTCGCTGGGATTTTCTTTTTTCTTGTTTGCAATTTTTCTTAATCTATATTTTATAATTGTCCACAATACAATTGAAATTATTATAAAGGTAATAAATGTATTGAACAAACTCCATACTATGGAATGAACTTCGGTTTTTCTTAATAAATGGATGGATTTGGCTTCCTTTTGTAGATTTTGTATTTCTTTAAGGTCAATGGAATGTAGGCTAATCGGATTGTCTTCTAAATTTTGGCTGGACTCCCAGTTTTGTATTTCTGGTAATATAATGGGTTTGACATCTAGGATTTCTTTTTTATTCCAAAATTGTGATTGATTGATTTGGATTCCACATTTAGATGGGATATCAATTAAAGTTTGATTATTAATAAATAAATAATCGTTTGAATAGCATTTCTTTTTTATTTTCATTGGAGTACTTGTGGGAATTAATAGTATAAATTGATTTGTTATGGCTTCTATGATTGGTCTGGACATTTCGATTTTTAAGTATTGACACTTTTGAATTTCGGCTTCTTTGACAAGATTGACTATGCATGTGTTGGTGGACGGCTGCAGAAGATTTTTACAAACTTGTAGAATATTGATTTTTGGACACGGTTCATCGAGATATTGGTGTTGATTTTCGCCAAGTATTATGTAGGGATGGTTTGGAATAATTATTGTATTGTTTATTGGGATAGGAAGGATATGAAAACTCTCAAAAGTCTTTTCGTAAAATATAGGAAAGTGAATTGTAAAAATAATTTTATTGTTTGTGAAGGTAACTTAAGTAGCTGTTAACTGATAATAAAGGTGAACGTTAGTAGACATGTGAATTTTATTCTTACCATAGATTTTCGTTAAATGATTTATAATTAAATTTAATTCATTTATTGATAAAATAGAACTGTGCAACATATTTATATTGGCAAAAATTACTGCGTTTTCTAGATTGTCTAAAAGATTTATTAAATTTTGGCAATTTAGAATAATTTGATCTATTGTATTTTGCGATCTTAAATAGGATGAAATATCATTAATAGTTTTATTTATGCTGAATTCGAAAGCAAATAGTCTGCTTTTAATTATTTTTGGTTTTCGTTAAGTAAAGTGATAGTTTTGTTATAAGTGTTTATCAGATTATTAGTTAGAGATATTCTTAAGGACGTTTCTTTTAAAATATGTAGAATTTTGGTTATTTTAAAGTTCCAAAATTGCATTATTGTATTTAGTTTCATCATCGGAATCT